AATAGTTCTAAAATTCATTTGGAACCACAAAAGACCCCAAATAGCCAAAGCAATCCTGAGAAAGAAGAACAAAATGGAGGGGATTATGCTCCCTGATTTCAAGCTCTACTACAAAGCCACAGTAATCAAAACAATTTGGTACTGGCACAAAAACACACCCATATATCAATGGAACAGAATAGAGAACCCAGATATAAACCCACACATATATGGTCAATTAATATACGATAAAGGAGCCATGAATATACAATGGGGAAAAGACAGCCTTTTCAACAACTGGAGTTGGGAAAACTGAACAACTATGTGTAAGAGATGAAACTGCATTATTGTCTAACTCCATACACAAAAAGTAAACTCAAAATGCATCAAAGACCTGAATGTAGGTCATGAAACCATAAAACTCTTAGAAGAAAACATAGGCAAAAATCTCTTGAATATAAACATGAACAACTTTATCCTGAACACACCTCCTTGGGCAAGGAAACAAAATAAAAAATGAACAAGTGGGACTACATCAAACTAAAAGCTTCTGCATAGCAAAGGACACTATCAGCAGAACAAAAAGGCATCCTACAGTATGGGAGAATATATTTGTAAACAATTTATCCAATAAGGGGTTAACATCCAAAATATATAAAGAATTCATATGCCTCAACACCCAAAGAACAAATCGATTAAAGGGTGGACGACCTGAACAGACACTTCTCTAAAGGAGAAATACAGATGACCAATAGGCACATGAGAAAATGCTCCACATCACTAATTATCAGGGAAATGCAAATTAAAACCACGGTGAGATATTACCTTGTACCAGTTTGGATGGCCACTATCCAGAAGACAAGAAACAACAAATGCTGGCAAGGACGCAGAGAAAGGGGAACCCTGCTACACTGTTGGTGGGAATGTAAATTGGTGCAACCATTGTGGAAAGCAATATGGAGGTTCCTCAAAAAACTAAAAATAGAAATACCATTTGACCCAGTAATTCCACTCCTAGGAATTTACCTGAAGAAAACAAGGTCCCTGATTCGAAAAGACATATACACCCCTATGTTTATCACTGAATTATTTACAAGAGGCAGGATATGGAAGCAACGTTAAGTGTCCACCAAGAGATGAATGTATAAAGAAGATGTGGTACATATACACAATGGAATGTTATTCAGCCATAAAAAGAAAAGAAAGACTGCCATTTGCAACAACATGGACGGATCTAGAGGGTATTATGCTCAGTGAAATAAGCCAGGTGGAGAAAAACAAATACCACATGATTTTACTTATTTGTGGAGTATAAAAACAAAGCAAAACAGAAGGAACAAACTGGCAGTAAACTCATAGACATGGAGAAGGGACTAGTAGTTACCAATGGGGAGGGGTTGAGGAATGTGGGGAGGGAGAGAGAAGGGGATTAAGGGGCACAATAATTCACAGTCACAATATAAGCAAGTCACGGGGAGGGTAGTTCAGCATGGAGATTACAATTAATGACTGTGACTGTATAACATCTTACTGCATGATAGACAGGGACCACATTGGAGGGAGTGAGGACTTGATAATATGACTGAATGTGGAACCACTGTGTTGTGTATCTGAAACCACCATAAGATTGTATATCACTGATACTTTAATAAAAAAAAAGTCAGTTAATGATTTGCTGGTGATAGGGGAAGGGAGGTCTTCAGTCAAAAAATATCATAGATGTTTAATTGGTTAATATATAGATTAACATAACAAAGTATTGCTCCATAAGTAACATCGTACCTTGAAGGAGCTGCTTGTTAACAGGCAGGGGTTATTTTCCTACTGAATATATGGGTTGGGGTTTGTGTGTGTAGCCCAAGCTATGCAAGGTTTCTCCCACATTCTCCTGCCCTTATTCAGTTGCAAAACCTCGATGAACTGAGGAGATTGGAAGGAAGAAGCTGGAGGAGGCTGTGGCAGGAAGCTGGGGCTGCCTTGTCTCTCTGGCAGTCTGAGATGGGATTGCCATTGAGGAAAAAGATGTGTTTATACTGTATAGGAAGAGAGAAGGGATCAGCCCAGTAAGCTTCCTTGCGGGGAATGATCCAACTGGGTCAAGATTGCTCTACAATTCCTAGCAAAAGGTTGCCCCTACATCAGGACCCGAGATCACGGCAACATGTAGGGAAATTGACAAAGAGGAGACGGGGAGAGGCGCCTTAAATGACTGCTGGGCACAGTCTGTGTCTCTGCACATAGGGACAGTTCACTCAACAGGCCATTTCTACCCAGCGCCCCTCACAGAACCTCTTAGCAGAGCTCAGTAAACGTCTCCTAACTGTGGGATGCTAGGGTGGAAAGAGAGGGAGCGGGAGGCGCCAAAGGCAGGGCCAACAACCTCGTATGCCGCGGGAAAAATCGGGGCCTGGGACCCAGAAGAGGCCTAGCGTCGTTCCTCGAAAACCTAGCGGATTTTGAGCAGGAAGTCAAAGGGCGGGCGCTGGGGGCGCTCATGGTCTTCGAAACTAGAAAGGAGGGAGGGGATTTGGCGAATCCAGCGGTCCAGGACAGGTCACCCGGAAAGCAGATCTGAGAAGTAGGTTCCACGCTCAGGAAGTGGGGATAAACTGTATTCCCGGCCTGCAGCGCTAAAGCCGTTGCCCGGGAAACGAAACAGAGGCGGAGCCTAGCCTAACTGATTGCCAGGGGCCACAGCTAAGGCGGAACTGCTCCCGAATGACTTTAGCCTGGTGGGCGTGGTCGTCCATGACTGACAGGTCTCCGGAGCGGGACTGGCTTGAGGGTTGACTGAGTGGTTGGGCTGGGTACCAAACGCGGGAGGCCTATAGGGTCGGAGTTGAAGCCGCCTTAACCACCTAACCCCTAAGATGCTGGCTTCATTAGTTCGAGTAACCCTAGAAAAGAGCAGGATATGCCCACTTGGATCCCTCTCTATGGCCAGGCTAAACCAGGGCTCCAAGGCTCAAGCCATTTCTACTGAGAACGTGGGCCGGGAGAATGGGAAAGTTGTCGTCTTTCTTAATAGGCTGGGTGGAGACTCTGGAGGATATGAGACCAGACGAGGGGAGGAAGGCCTAGGAGGTAGGCCAAGACACGGATTGATTCTGGCTCCCAGGGAAGGTTCCTGGAGTCTTAGCACTAGGAGGAAGACTGGAGGCCCAAGAAATGGGCCAGCTTATTTTCGGTTGAGAAAAATATGGCCCCTGCCCAAATGCTGACTTCAGAGGAAAATTCCAAATATGTGGAGACACTTTGGAAAACATGCCTGACTAGCATTTGCCCCTAGAGAGCCTTTGAAGTTAGCCTAAAGCTAACTTTTTTGCTTTAGAGAAGCTGCCGTGGAATTAGGAAGGAAAGGTGGCAGGAAAGCTGTCCTTCCTAACTGGCTCACAGGTGCCCTGGCCAGTCTTCTCTCTGACATGGTTTTGTGTTATCTGCAGAGCACAGATGATTGTTATAAAATGTTCTTAATGATTTTGTTTTAGGGATTCCCACACCTCACTCCCCAACTTGGCTCATTTTACATAGATTTTCCCAGTAAAAGTGCAAGGCCTCTTTTCAAGGGGATTACCAAAGGCCAAAGCTGTTAACTGCAGAAAGAGGCTTCAAGAGTTAACCTAGGGTGACAGTGCACTTGGTGTGAGGCACTGATCCAGATTGACAGAAAAGGATGGAATTGAAAATGGTTGTATAAATGTCATCCCATATTTAATCAAGAATGGTAGTCTTTGCTTATACTCCTTCAGCTATAAAACCATCATGCTTGGAAACTCCTCAGTGGCTTTAGTAAAAGGCCTGTGTACACTTGTGGGCCTATCAGTTTTGCTGGCCCCTAAACAAACTGTGCTCAGGGAGGAGATGCCATGGAATGTCAAAGGGGCTAAGAGAAATGACCTCAGGTTTGGCTGGTGGCTAGCAGGTGAGGAAGAAGCATAGCACGGTGGCTTCAGAGTTACAGCTTGGCTTGAATCCTGGCTCCACCATCTCTTAGTTGTGTAGCTAGTAGGAGACTTTCTTAATATCTTTGCTAAGAATGAACATAATGTCTGGCCTCATAGGATGATTATGAAGATCAAAAGAGATAATGGACTTAAAGCATTTGGCTTTAAGCCTGGAGTCCCACAGTAGGACAAGTGTGCAGTTGCTGGTGTTGACCCCACTGCCCATACAGATAAATTTCTACTTCCCAAAGGAGTGAGTGAGCCCAGGCCAAGGTAACAGGTTCACTTCAGGCTGTTGTGGGACCATTCAGCCCTGAAAATTTTCCCCACCTCCTAGGGTGAGAGCTCTGGAATGAAAAAGGGAGATGTGGGGTGTTTCCTGCAGGCAGTAGGGAATGGGTTTTATTATAGATTCATTCATGTTTATTCTTTTGAATCTTCCAAAGCCAAGACTAAGAGTAAGAGGGGTACAACTATAAACTGTTTAATAGTAGCTCTTACCAGCTATACATAGTTGTGAATTTTTGGCCTAATTTTTCCCAGAAAAAAAAAGGGGTGGGGTTACATAAGCAGGGAAGATGTGGACAGCCCTGGGATGGGAGGAAGGATGGCAAATGGTCCCTCAGGCTTGTTACTGTGTTGTATCAATGGGGGTACAGGTGGTGGGGGTGGAGGGTGTGTTGGTTCTCTAACAACTTCTCTGATGGAGCTGGACAGTTCTTAACCCTCTAGCCTTCCTCTCTCCAGAGGCCACTACCCTATGCCAAATGCCTAAAGGGAACCAAGAAGCCCAGAGCCTGAATTGTTATGTAGGTTTGTGATCAACCCCATAGCAGTTAAGAAAATGAAGCCTGGGCTCTACCTACTGAGTGGAAGTATCTACACGCCCTCTAGTACTTGGGCACCAATGGAAGACTGATTTTTCTAATCTCAGAGCGCCATCTGCTGGAATCTGAGGCTCCCTAAAGAAGGGGAGGGAAGAGACTAAGACCTGGACTATGGGGGGATGAGAAGGGAAGGCAACAGGCAGGAGGCTCTTCCTGGGCACTGAGGACATGGAATCAAGTGACAGTCAAGAAGGAGACAGGTTTTCAGTTTATTGAGTAGCACTGGCATCATAACTTTCATCACTGGTGGGGGATGGTTGGGGGGAACAGTTAAGTGCTCTTAGATGATTCCATTGAGGCCTTCACCCACCACACCCACTGCTTCAGCCAGCTGTCCTTGGAATTGGAACCAAGGTCCAACTCTGCATTCTGTGAGTTCACCACTATACATTCCATTGGTCCTCCCCATTGGACCAGCTGTTGTTGCCTGGGCCCTTCTTCCTCTTGAGGGTGGAGTCAGGGTAAAAGCAGGTCTAAACCTCAAGAAAGAGGAGCTAACTAAGGTCAAGGTTTTGCTGAATGTCTACCAAAGGTCAATGGAACACAAAATTCCATCTTATGATTGTACACTCCGGGCCTAGTTGTCCTTGAGGGTATCCTAGTTGCACCCACTCACATACCTGTGGAGTTTAAGCACCTTCTCATAGCTGTGGGTGGGAAGGAGGGTGTGGTGGGAGCTCTTAAAGGGGAATACTTGTTCTGCCTTCATGGCTTTTTGGTTGGGGGAGGGGGTTGGGATTGCTGTGATGTCACAGCAGACCAAGAACTCCTAGGATTGTGCCTAAAGATGCTCACATTGCATTGTCGGGGAGATGGAAAGATGGCAAGAATGGTACAGGATACTGACACTCCTTTGTTCTGATAGAAAGGAGGAGAGGAAGTGGTCTGTTCCAGGGGATGCACAACTTCCCTGCCTCCCTTATCCTGATATGTCTTCCTCTGCCAGCTTTGGGAGTCAGGAAGCATAAATCTGAAGGATGCAGCCCAGTTTGGCCTGTTAGTGTCCTCAGTCTCTGTCCTGAGATCCTGGGGCTCCTTCTGAGTCCATATGGGGCAAGGTACTGTCAGAAACGACTTGGCCAGAGGAACTGTTTAGGCAAAGAAGTCCTGTAGCCTGGCCAGCTGACAGGTGGTAGAAGGCCAAGAGGGGAAGCCAGATATTAGGACACACCACGACAGCATGTCTGCTCTGAGCTTTCAGGACAGCACATACATACACATTCACATCAGGTGTGTATATACATGGACACACACGGGAGAATGGATATGTGATCCTGCTCTCTGAAACCAGGGAGGAGAGAAAAAGGCTTATGGGGGCACCTCTCCCAACCTAGTGGATTGCTGGTCTCAATGGTTGCACCCTCACCAAGCCCTCTCCCCAATACCAGGCCGGGCAAGTGGCAGGGATGGCAAGGATCTATTAAAGCAGCAGCCTGAGGAGGCGAAGGAAGGGGCCAGGAACTGACCCACTCTCAGAGGCCCTTGTTGTAGTAGACCACTTCAGTGCTGGGGCTTTGCTCATGGATCTGAGCTCGCAGCTCTGGCTCCAGCCTGCTCACATGTATGGAGCTGCAACAGAACAGCACAGGTGGGCTGAGTGGCCCCTGAACCTAACCCCTATCAGGCAAAGAGATCACCACCTCTCCTCCTCCCAGGCTGGAGAATCTTCTCCAACTGCCAAAAGGCCCAGGTCACTGTCATTCCTCCACCCTAGAATAAATTGAGTGCCTGGCAGGCGTCCTCCTGAACACACTGAAGGACCCTGAGGTCAGCTGGTGCCAGAGACATGGGAACCTGCCCAGAGTCCCCAAGCCAAGTCTGAGGGCAGCACTTACCTTCTCTGGGGAAACAGGGCACAGCACAGGGGGGTGGCAAATACCAGGCTGGGGAAGGAGAGTGTTCCAGGGCTCCAAGGCTCAAGCCATTTCTACTGAGAACGTGGGCCGGGAGAATGGGAAAGTTGTCGTCTTTCTTAATAGGCTGGGTGGAGACTCTGGAGGATATGAGACCAGACGAGGGGAGGAAGGCCTAGGAGGTAGGCCAAGACACGGATTGATTCTGGCTCCCAGGGAAAGTTCCTGGAGTCTTAGCACTAGGAGGAAGACTGGAGGCCCAAGAAATGGGCCAGCTTATTTTCGGTTGAGAAAAATATGGCCCCTGCCCAAATGCTGACTTCAGAGGAAAATTCCAAATATGTGGAGACACTTTGGAAAACATGCCTGACTAGCATTTGCCCCTAGAGAGCCTTTGAAGTTAGCCTAAAGCTAACTTTTTTGCTTTAGAGAAGCTGCCGTGGAATTAGGAAGGAAAGGTGGCAGGAAAGCTGTCCTTCCTAACTGGCTCACAGGTGCCCTGGCCAGTCTTCTCTCTGACATGGTTTTGTGTTATCTGCAGAGCACAGATGATTGTTATAAAATGTTCTTAATGATTTTGTTTTAGGGATTCCCACACCTCACTCCCCAACTTGGCTCATTTTACATAGATTTTCCCAGTAAAAGTGCAAGGCCTCTTTTCAAGGGGATTACCAAAGGCCAAAGCTGTTAACTGCAGAAAGAGGCTTCAAGAGTTAACCTAGGGTGACAGTGCACTTGGTGTGAGGCACTGATCCAGATTGACAGAAAAGGATGGAATTGAAAATGGTTGTATAAATGTCATCCCATATTTAATCAAGAATGGTAGTCTTTGCTTATACTCCTTCAGCTATAAAACCATCATGCTTGGAAACTCCTCAGTGGCTTTAGTAAAAGGCCTGTGTACACTTGTGGGCCTATCAGTTTTGCTGGCCCCTAAACAAACTGTGCTCAGGGAGGAGATGCCATGGAATGTCAAAGGGGCTAAGAGAAATGACCTCAGGTTTGGCTGGTGGCTAGCAGGTGAGGAAGAAGCATAGCACGGTGGCTTCAGAGTTACAGCTTGGCTTGAATCCTGGCTCCACCATCTCTTAGTTGTGTAGCTAGTAGGAGACTTTCTTAATATCTTTGCTAAGAATGAACATAATGTCTGGCCTCATAGGATGATTATGAAGATCAAAAGAGATAATGGACTTAAAGCATTTGGCTTTAAGCCTGGAGTCCCACAGTAGGACAAGTGTGCAGTTGCTGGTGTTGACCCCACTGCCCATACAGATAAATTTCTACTTCCCAAAGGAGTGAGTGAGCCCAGGCCAAGGTAACAGGTTCACTTCAGGCTGTTGTGGGACCATTCAGCCCTGAAAATTTTCCCCACCTCCTAGGGTGAGAGCTCTGGAATGAAAAAGGGAGATGTGGGGTGTTTCCTGCAGGCAGTAGGGAATGGGTTTTATTATAGATTCATTCATGTTTATTCTTTTGAATCTTCCAAAGCCAAGACTAAGAGTAAGAGGGGTACAACTATAAACTGTTTAATAGTAGCTCTTACCAGCTATACATAGTTGTGAATTTTTGGCCTAATTTTTCCCAGAAAAAAAAAGGGGTGGGGTTACATAAGCAGGGAAGATGTGGACAGCCCTGGGATGGGAGGAAGGATGGCAAATGGTCCCTCAGGCTTGTTACTGTGTTGTATCAATGGGGGTACAGGTGGTGGGGGTGGAGGGTGTGTTGGTTCTCTAACAACTTCTCTGATGGAGCTGGACAGTTCTTAACCCTCTAGCCTTCCTCTCTCCAGAGGCCACTACCCTATGCCAAATGCCTAAAGGGAACCAAGAAGCCCAGAGCCTGAATTGTTATGTAGGTTTGTGATCAACCCCATAGCAGTTAAGAAAATGAAGCCTGGGCTCTACCTACTGAGTGGAAGTATCTACACGCCCTCTAGTACTTGGGCACCAATGGAAGACTGATTTTTCTAATCTCAGAGCGCCATCTGCTGGAATCTGAGGCTCCCTAAAGAAGGGGAGGGAAGAGACTAAGACCTGGACTATGGGGGGATGAGAAGGGAAGGCAACAGGCAGGAGGCTCTTCCTGGGCACTGAGGACATGGAATCAAGTGACAGTCAAGAAGGAGACAGGTTTTCAGTTTATTGAGTAGCACTGGCATCATAACTTTCATCACTGGTGGGGGATGGTTGGGGGGAACAGTTAAGTGCTCTTAGATGATTCCATTGAGGCCTTCACCCACCACACCCACTGCTTCAGCCAGCTGTCCTTGGAATTGGAACCAAGGTCCAACTCTGCATTCTGTGAGTTCACCACTATACATTCCATTGGTCCTCCCCATTGGACCAGCTGTTGTTGCCTGGGCCCTTCTTCCTCTTGAGGGTGGAGTCAGGGTAAAAGCAGGTCTAAACCTCAAGAAAGAGGAGCTAACTAAGGTCAAGGTTTTGCTGAATGTCTACCAAAGGTCAATGGAACACAAAATTCCATCTTATGATTGTACACTCCGGGCCTAGTTGTCCTTGAGGGTATCCTAGTTGCACCCACTCACATACCTGTGGAGTTTAAGCACCTTCTCATAGCTGTGGGTGGGAAGGAGGGTGTGGTGGGAGCTCTTAAAGGGGAATACTTGTTCTGCCTTCATGGCTTTTTGGTTGGGGGAGGGGGTTGGGATTGCTGTGATGTCACAGCAGACCAAGAACTCCTAGGATTGTGCCTAAAGATGCTCACATTGCATTGTCGGGGAGATGGAAAGATGGCAAGAATGGTACAGGATACTGACACTCCTTTGTTCTGATAGAAAGGAGGAGAGGAAGTGGTCTGTTCCAGGGGATGCACAACTTCCCTGCCTCCCTTATCCTGATATGTCTTCCTCTGCCAGCTTTGGGAGTCAGGAAGCATAAATCTGAAGGATGCAGCCCAGTTTGGCCTGTTAGTGTCCTCAGTCTCTGTCCTGAGATCCTGGGGCTCCTTCTGAGTCCATATGGGTCAAGGTACTGTCAGAAACGACTTGGCCAGAGGAACTGTTTAGGCAAAGAAGTCCTGTAGCCTGGCCAGCTGACAGGTGGTAGAAGGCCAAGAGGGGAAGCCAGATATTAGGACACACCACGACAGCATGTCTGCTCTGAGCTTTCAGGACAGCACATACATACACATTCACATCAGGTGTGTATATACATGGACACACACGGGAGAATGGATATGTGATCCTGCTCTCTGAAACCAGGGAGGAGAGAAAAAGGCTTATGGGGGCACCTCTCCCAACCTAGTGGATTGCTGGTCTCAATGGTTGCACCCTCACCAAGCCCTCTCCCCAATACCAGGCCGGGCAAGTGGCAGGGATGGCAAGGATCTATTAAAGCAGCAGCCTGAGGAGGCGAAGGAAGGGGCCAGGAACTGACCCACTCTCAGAGGCCCTTGTTGTAGTAGACCACTTCAGTGCTGGGGCTTTGCTCATGGATCTGAGCTCGCAGCTCTGGCTCCAGCCTGCTCACATGTATGGAGCTGCAACAGAACAGCACAGGTGGGCTGAGTGGCCCCTGAACCTAACCCCTATCAGGCAAAGAGATCACCACCTCTCCTCCTCCCAGGCTGGAGAATCTTCTCCAACTGCCAAAAGGCCCAGGTCACTGTCATTCCTCCACCCTAGAATAAATTGAGTGCCTGGCAGGCCTCCTCCTGAACACACTGAAGGACCCTGAGGTCAGCTGGTGCCAGAGACATGGGAACCTGCCCAGAGTCCCCAAGCCAAGTCTGAGGGCAGCACTTACCTTCTCTGGGGAAACAGGGCACAGCACAGGGGGGTGGCAAATACCAGGCTGGGGAAGGAGAGTGTTGGAAAGTTTTGTGAAGCTTTGACCTAAGTGATCCCTCCCTGCACCCCACCCCACCTCTGAGACAGCCCCTAGGGGTGGAGACTGATTCAAGTCAACACTGACATTGGGTTCTGGCTGAGTGAGAGCCTCTAGTACCGTGACCTGGAGCTCTGCAGCCAGTGAGTGACAGCATCAGGAATTAAACATGCAGGAAATTCCTGGATCGGACCAAACGTATATTTTCATGGTTTCCTCTTGGAGATAAAGACTGGAACTCCCTTCAACTAGACTCATGACCTTCAAGGACAGCCATCACCTCCCAACACATAGTATGCTCTAGAGGTGTCCAAGACCCCTACCAGCTAAATTTATGAATGAGTGTTATATATAAACATCTTAAAAGCAATAAATACCCACCCACACCATGGAAAGGGCACTCCCACACACCCTAGCTAACTCTCTGCACACTTACCAGAAGCCCACCAGTCCCACCTGCAGGGGTGCCCCCAGCCAGGGGCGGTGCTGTGGGGAGAAAGAGGCAATGGAGTGGCATGTGTCCCTATCCCCTACCCCACCCCTTTTCACCTTCCACCACTCTATCCCATCAGCCCTGACTTTGAGCCTCTGATTCATGGCTTTTCTTTCTCTCAAGCCCACAGCAGGCTTGGGACCTCCAGATCATCATCCTCCACACTCCAGCCACGCCTGTTTCCTGCCATCTTCCTTAGCCCTCATATCCCCCACCAGCCATTCTCCCCTCTCATAATTGGTTCCCACATTTCCTCCAGGAGTTGCTTTCTTCAGGAAGCCTCCTCTAGCCCTTTACTCACTTCCTCCCTCCCAGTGGCATGAATCTAACCCCTTTCCTGCTCTGCATTCCTTCTTGATTCACTACAGCCACAAGGACCACCATCCTGTTCTTTTGGTGGACCTAGCTGGTGCTTACTGTTTGTGAATAAATGATTCAATGAATGAGCCAGAGGTCATATTCCTGTGCCTTGCTTCTCCTGTTTGTGTGCATGAGCCTGTGTGTGTTAGTAGGTGACATCATGAGCATATCAAATGTGACTGTGGTAGTCCATCCCTGTGTGTGTCAGAGGCCTCTGGTGTGACACTTGTTCCCTTCAGGACAAAAACTGTCTCCTTCCTCTCTTTTATTCTCCTCTCCTGCTCCTGCAGTGTTTCTTAACCACAGTCCCATTCCTTCAGGCCAAATGAATAAAGGTGAATGGGGAACGCAGGAGCAGGGCAAATGGGGGGCAAGTCTTAGGCTCAGGCCAGGCTGGAAAGCTGGTTGAGGACTGGTCACTCTTGCTTCCAGCCACCACCACTCCTGTGATGGGAGAGATGAGGACGACCTACCTTCAGGAAGTCTTTCTTCTCTAGAGTGTCCATGATCAAGGGGGGGATGGCTGAGGGGAAAGCAGGGCAGGGAGGGAGGGATTTAGTAGGGTGAAAATACTGTAGGGAAGGGGATCCCCCTTCACAGCTCCTTGCATTCTCCCCAAAGCCTTACAGCCCCCAGAGTCCTCCAAACACCTGGAGAACATCATCCCTTCCCTTAGAACCTCCCATGTCCCACCCAGTGCCACTGCCTCACCCATGGCAGGAATCGCCATGCAGATTCTTGATACCACCACCTGGAAGATTCCCTGCTTGGCTGCAGTCACCGAGTGGCCAAGCCTCTGACCCTCCTCATCAGTTACTGGGATGCCTACCTGCAGCTCCCTGAGAAGGAAGAGGGTGGGGATCAGATCACAGATTCCAAATCCCACGTGCAGTGCCCTCAAGGGCATCTGTTCCCTGGGATCCCCTCAGATGTTCTAAATTCAAAGGCTGGTTCTCCCACCCCTGGATCCCAGGATCAGACTAAGGCTGAGCCCAGCAGCTCATTCTGGGGAAGGTCCCCCTTCTGTGCTCATCTGCATGGCTGGATGGTGTGCCTGTGTGCACAATGGGCACGTACCTGCCGGAGCTGGGGCCACTCACCTCTGCCTCATCAGGGGGATGTTGATGCAGTTGGCAGCTGCCACAGCTGCAAAGGGCACAAATCTGCCAACCAGGGTAGGCAGGTGCTGAGGGAGGAAGGATGCTATTCAGTGGCCCTTAGGGCTGTGGAGTGGTGAGGAACTCTAGGGAGAGCTATGGGGAGCCTGTAGGTTGAGGTGGAGGAGTGATGGGAAGAAAGAAGCAGATGAAGAGTGAATGGGGGGCAGTGGAATGGGGGAGCATTTACCTTGGTGAGGGCTTTGAGTCCCAGGGCCGTGGCCACAGCCCCAGTGGTGGCACTCACGTAAGCTGTTCCCAGCTGCCTGTGGGTAGAAGAGCCAGGACACAAGGGAAGAGGTGAACAGTCCAGAATGTGACCCCTTCTCTCAGGGACATGCCAAATCCTCAGTTTATGAGGCATGGGAAGAGGACCTCATTGCAGAAAAACACCTCCCTTGCTCCAGTGTAGAGTTGCCTGGAAGCCCCAACCCTCCCCTTGAAGAGGAGTGGGTCCTCCCAAGCATACAGTAGAGGACCTCATGCCCTCAGGCCCAGAAAGTGGGAAGGTGAGCAGGTTGAGAGGAGGGTGCTGAGCCACTAGCTGCACAGGCTCTCTGGGAACAGGGTGACAGGAGCCAGCAGTGGTGGCTGGGAGAAGAGTCCCTGGGGATGAGCTCCTACCCTATGGTGATGGGTGCGTCACCACTGCGGTTGGAGTAGTTAACAACAGCATTGAAGGACTGGTTCACCCACTGCCAGAACACCACAGTTGGTGTCTTCCTGAGGGAACAAAGACATTCATTTTCTGCTCCCTCTACTGTGTCCCTCATCCTTGAGCCCCAATAACGAAACTCCAAAAGTTATTTCCAAACCCTCAGGAGAGACCCAGTTAATGGCACTAAAACCTGCTTTGGTGAACCCTGCTTGACCCTCTCCACTTAATGCAAATAAAACCACTGTCTTTGGGGGTGGGGGGGAAACCTGGGGCTGAGTTGTGAGGAAAAGAAGGGATTCTAACACATGCCCTCGCCCACCCACTGTTTCCTGCCCAAAGTGGCCCAGAGGGGAAGAACCTAGTCATCAGGCCACACTCTAGCTTGCACAAAACTCTCAGGGAGGGACTCACAGGACAGGACCTGCCTGTAGAAGGTGAGCATGCAGCCGGTGATGGTCATGTTCATGGGCACCTGGGCTGACATGCGGCCAATCAGGACCACCTTCTCCCCTGTGTCCGGATGGAAGGCAGAATCATACACATACTTGGCCCTCCACAGCTGGTCTTCAGTGAGCCCTGGCATCATCACACCAGCCCTGAAAATGTTGGCATGGAGCAGAGAGGCAATTCTGGGGGGCAAATCTGCCCTTCCAAGCCCTGCCCACCCAGCTCAGGTGAAGTCTGGGCAGAGGACCAGGCATTGACTCCCAATCTCAGAATAGAGGAGCTCCTTGTCTCTGGGAGAGAATCAAGTCTTCCCAGAAGGGGGTGGTCTTATGTCTATCTTCCTTCTAGCCACACAGAGGGGTGCCCTTCTGTTCCTGCACAAATGCTTGGTCATGAGTAATGGTGGTTTCCAATGAGTCAAAAATGGCTGGGGGCATTGCAAGAGTTTTTTCTCTTGGAGATGAGGGTTATGCACTCCAACCTCCTTTGGACTCAACTTTGAACCCTTCCATCCTCGCCGAGGGTGGCCCAGCAATGGGACAGGTCCATATCAAGGATTTGTGAAGCATAGAGCAGTCCCCCACTGATAAATATGCCACCTCCTCAACCCAAACACCCTAAAATCCTTTTGGGTCTAAGCTCTATACTATCGTAGTAGCCTGTGATTCCAACAGATAGGGTTAGGGGATGAGGGGGTTGAGAAATGGGACAGGGTCTTTCTCAAGCTTGGGAATACAAGTGCAAAAAGTACTTTGTTAATGGCAGGGTATGAGACCCTGGGGTACAGGGTCAGATGGGGTAGAGGTTCACCTGTAGTTCTGCACGATGTTCCGGGAAGCTTCCAGCTGTGCCCCAGACAACAGCAGATTGCGGGGGTCAGTAACAGTGAAGAAGTGCCGGGCTCTGCCTAGGAAAGTGCTTTGGTCCCAGCGAGGTTCCTGGATGTTGATATCTATGGGCAACTCACCCATTTTCTGCAGGGCATGGATGAGTCAGAGGACTCCAGGAAAAGGGTACAAGTGCTTCAACTGGGGGAGCCTTGGGGGGCCCTGCCCTTATCCCTGGGCCTAGTGACAGTCCCTTCTAGAGCTAAAAGTGACTCCAGATGGGCAAGCAAGGGTGGGAGTAAGAGCTGTTTTCTAGGAAATGTCCTGGAGGAGGCAGTGGGGGAGAGCTGATTCAGGAAAACAGATCTTGTGCTCTGGTCTGGTGCAGATTTTCATGGTTGAGGATTTACATAGCGCATGAGCAGTAGCTAATCTCATGCAGCTACTCTTGACCTCTCTACGCACAAAAATACATGTTATATGCATTACACACCCACACACCCCAACTGCCTTGAGATCTAGATACAAACCCCCAAGGCTGTTTGGGAAGGTGGCATAAGCAATATTAGAGGACAGCAAGGGATCACTGGGCACCCTAGGGCTTATCTATTCTAGATCTCAAACAGGGAACCTGTCATGCCAACCAGCTGTGTGTGCTCATGTGCATGCACAAGTCCCCTCTCCAGCCCCCACATTCTCAGCCCACATGGAATGGCCCAATGTCTTCTTGTTCCCCAGCTGGGCAGGGCTAGCACAGACACCCTTCCACCTCTCCCTGAACCACCTGCCTCCAGAAAGGAGCAGGATTCAGTAAGTGCCCCCTCCACACAGCACAGAGCAAAAACTGAAGGAGCCATCTGGCTGTGCTGGGTAAAATCCTACAAAATGACTAATCCTCTCCAACCACACTTCCTCCCTCAAGAGCAGACACACCCTCCCCTCTCTTACAGACTCACACTAATATACCCACACACAAAGACACCATACCCGGCCCTACACATACATACAAATGGTGGACACACTCTGCATACACTAGCCCACAACGACCGTTATGCATGCACACACAGAACCCCATACACATCAGTTGCAGATCCTTGAATGTGTGACCTCACAGGGCCCCACCCTGACATTCCTCCCCCAACCAACTTCCCCTCCTGCCCCATGGACCTCCTTAGAGCCAAAGATATTGAACCGGATAGGACAGAGAGCACACTTCAAGGCAGGCTTCCCTCCCGACTCCCAACCCCTTTCTTCCCTGACCCCCAAAACCCTCCGGGACAGCGAGTACTCACTCCTTCCCGGGCTCCTGGCCTCTTTAGATCTCAGACCCGCCTTCCTTCCCGCGCATCGGCCCCGCCTTCCCATCCATCAAGTGTAACGTCACGCGTGGCGGTGACCAGCAGGAGGGGCGGGGGCTCCCTCTGCACGTCCGCCTGGCGTGCCAAGGGATTGGCAGAGCCTGGGGGCGGTGGGTGTCGTTTGGGACGACACCCTCATCCTGGCCCTGGGGCCCAGAGCCAATCGGGACTCGAGAATCAGTTCTGGCCCTGTCCACAGCTAGAAGGAGGAGGGCGGAGCCGCGGGCACAGCACTCTGCTGGCCGACCCTGGCTGGACTCCGGAGGCACCCGGCCTCTGCTGCAAGGGGTTTAGGTGTCCAGGGCAAAGGCGGGCAGCGTGGAGGGGCCATCCTCTGTTGATGCGCTCGGAGAGACTCGGATTACCGCGCAGCTTGTTTACTAGGTGGGGGCCTTGGCTGTGGTCTCTGCCTACTTGGTCCTCTGGGCTCCTACCCCAGTTCCCACAAGCTCCTCTCGCAGCACCGTGGCATTCGCACCCCTTCGCAGTCCCCTCCCGCTCATGCCTGTGCCCATTCTATGTCTCCAGCCCTTTCCTCCTCCCCTGTTCCCTCCTTACACTCCTCTGTAACCCAGTTACCTTAGTCCCCAGTCCCTACCCCTGCACAGCAGATCTTCGCTCCAGTCGCTGCCCTGAGATGTGAAGGGACAGAAGTCTTCAAGGTACCTGCCTGTATTAAGCTAGTGTATCAGAAAGATTCTTCCTCCCCCTAATATCCAGGGACCAGCTGCCCCACCCCGTGTCCTTTCCAAAGCTGGGTGGCCAGGGAGACACTTTCTAACCATAGGAGGAGGATGCGTGTGAGGAAGGCAACACTCAGCCACACACACACACACTCACAACTCACCCAGTCACCCTACAGAGCAGCCTGCCACACACCAAGGCGCTGCCCACTCTCCTGCCTACCGCAGGCACAAGCCAGGCTCTGCCCAGGTTACGCTCTCTCCCTGAGGCTTCAGGGATGACCGAGTAGGGGCGGCACTTCCATGACCCCTAGTTGGCTTGGCCTGGAGAAGAAGCAGCTCCGAGCTCCTGTGCACTGAACCCTGCGGGAGTGGGGCGAGGCGTGACCCAAGTCCTAGGCTCGCGGCGTGGGGTGCGACATCAGAACTCGGACTGGGGCGGGTAGAACCCAGCTGCCCACCCCAGGTGACAAACGGCTGTCCTGGGCGTCCGAAAGAGGAGGAGGAGGGAATGACCGGCGGCCCTCCCAGCCAACGGGAGCCCGGGATTCTCAGGCCAGCCCTATTCCCGCAGCTTCGGCGGAGCGGAGGCGGGGTTCCCCAGCAGCAGCATTGGCTCTCGCCGGCGGGCGGGCTCTCTTGGCGGCTGCCCCAAGAGAGAGCAGGTGAGGAGGCCCGAGCCCGAGAAGTGGGGGCCAGGAAGACCGATCCAAGGGGTGGGGTGCTGCGTTCTGGCTCCCAGAACTGCTCCCGGGGACGTGGCCCCGGGTTTTGTGAGAGATGTGGGGCTCTCCCCAGCAGGTCTTCCCCCAAGTCTGGGAGAGGTTCGTGCAACCTCTGTAGGTGGGAGGGGAGGAGGAATGGAGGGGACAGCTGCCCTGGGCCCGGGGATCCCTAGGGGCCAAGGAATTTCTGGGGCCCTTGGCTGCAGCTGTCCAGGTCCTGAAGCACTACCCCGGCGGCTTGAGCCCCGGGGGTTGGTCCCCTACCCACTGAACACAGGAGAGGTGGTGCAGTGAACTATCCTGGCCCTTATTTCTCTCACACGGCTTGAAGCCCTAGGGCCTGCACTAAACCCACCTCTACTGTCAACCTCTACTGAGGACTAGGGACCTAAGTAGGTGACTCCTCTGAGAGCAGAAATGAGGGGTGAAGTGAATGAGGTTCCCACCCATCTTGTTGTATAAATGGCTCCCAAAGTCCACGATGGTGACTGGACTGGGCAGTTCTCTGGCCAAGGGTGGGAGAGGTGAGGGGCCTAAGGCATGGGGGGGGGGGTGGCAGGATGCTCAAGCCAGTGGGAAGGGTGGAAGTTCTGTGGGGGAGCAAAGGCAGCATTCACTCCCCTCCCCTAATCCCTGCTCTCCCTGGCAGGCCTGGAGCGCCCACTCCTGAGAAGCAGCAGAGGTGAGGGGCACCCTGTTTCTGAGATCCCAGTCTTGTACGGAAGGCTGATGGAGCCAGGAGCATGCGGGGCTCTTGTCTTGAGTGCTAGCAGGTTCCTTCTGGGCCTGTAGGACACTGCCCCAGTGTAGCTACCATGGCGCACGGTTTCACGGTGGGCTCCCACCCACCGGGCTTTGGAGACCTAAGCTCCGGCTCTCTGAGCTCCCTCTCTTCCCGAGGCCACCTGGGCAGCGACTCGGGCTCTGCAATGCGATACCTGCTGAGGAAGCAGCAGCGGCTGCTGAATGGGCCCCCCCGCGGAATCCGAGCCTCCTCACCCATGGGCCGTGTCATCCTCATCAACTCCCCCATCGAAGGTGTGGGCAGGGGCCAGCCACCGGACTGGGAGCTGAGGGTGGGGATAGGGGACAGCCGGCAATAAGTAGGAGGAGTCAGAGCCAATATGGGTGGGCATCTTTGGCATGGGATGGGGTCGGGGGGAGCTCTAGAAACCCATACATTTCCTTATCTATCATATTCTCACTTTCAGACCAATCCTTTAGAGTTTCAGGATTGTGGAGAGGTCAGAGGTGGGGGATAGGAGCATGGAGGCAGAGAAAGGTGTGTCTGGTATGCTGGCCCCAAATGAGATAGGCACCATACTGAATTGCCCCTTCCCTCTGGACTCTGCCTTTCTCCAAACCCACTTGTGTATGCCTTTGTTAGATGGGGCTGGCAGGAGGAGGAGGACATCCTCGTCAACCAGCCCATCGTATGACCAGCACTGTGCTGGGCTGTGAGGAGTCAGTGCCCAGATGGGCAGGAATTACAGGCTTCAGGTACAAAAGGAAGGAAATAGAGATAGAGCTACAAATGTTCTGAAGAGGGGGAGTAGAGGGGGTTGAGGGTCAGGGAGGGAGCCCCCAGGCTGGGGCCTGAAGGAGGGGGATGCCTAATCTTATGTGTTTGCTTAATGCAGTTTCATTGCACACCTATCCTATACCAGCCCTGGTCAGGTCCTGCAGGGGAGTTTTCAGAAATGTACAAGGTAACAGGGCGTAAAGACAGAGCTATAAGAACAGCTGGCAGTGGGGTGGAGTACAGAGACAACGGTTGGAAGTGGAAAGCATGGAGCACAGTGGAGAGGTGCAGGGAGGCACGTAGGAGGCAGTCTGGTTGTAGTGACAGATGTGAGGCAACAAAGAGCCAGTGAGCAAGGCAGGATCTTGAATGCCAGCAGGGAAGGAAGTCCCCCTGGGTCTGGGTTTTCTGTGGGCAGGACCAGATAAATATCTTCAGCTTCCCTCTTCTCTTTCAGTCAGTAGAGCTCCCCTGGCTAATCCCAGGCTGGACTTTTCAGACCCTGCTCCTCCTCCCATCTGACCCAGCTGGGCATATCTATTGCCGTGCCAGGGATGCTGAGGCAGGGCTGGAGAATGTTGCTCAGGGAGCAGGCTTTCCTGTACCAATGGCCCAACACACTCACCCCATCATCCACCACTCTTGGCCTCACCCTCAGGTGAGCAGGAGGACACTGCTAAGGATCCCCACTGTCATTCTGGTCATGCAGCACAAGTCCCTAGAGTTGCTAGAAGACATGGATAGGGAGAGGGGAGCACTGTCCTTGTAAGACCCATTGTTTTAAAAGAACTGTGCTATACCTCACCTCATATATCCACATACACATTCTGCCAGGCTATGATGCAAGGGCTACATACATTGTCCCTCTAAAGTTCTTTTTCTGGAAGTCCCATGGTTCTCTTCCTCTGCCTCATCCTAGTGCCCCAGTGCAGCCAGGGGAACAGCAATCCCAGCAATGGAAGGACTGGGGCATTGTTCTGATCAGCTGGCCCCTAACCTGTCTGAGCTGGCAACCACTGAGCTCAGAATCCTCCCATCTGTCTGAGCACAAACAACTGCACTCTTCTGCAGCCTGGACCCCCTCCCTTATGTTGTTGTTTAGACCATTCCAAAGGCCTAAAATAACAGGTAGGGGAGGCACAGTGGGAAGGGGAACACTGCTACCCACATCACCCCCATGCGTTCCCATCAGGTCCTCAAACTCAACTGGTCCCAGAGAAAATGCATTATCTTTAATCCAAATTCTTTCTTCCTCACTCTCCTAGCTCATTTGTTATTCACACATTCATCTATTTATTTTTATCTATTAAAAAAATACTTAACAAATACCAAGCATTATGCAACATATTGGAGACACATTGATAGAAAAGAATTACAAAGTCCCTACCATGATTGTGTTACAGTCTAGAGACTGTAAGGAGACAGATAATAAAAATACACAAATAAGCAAATAGTGAGAAAGGGTGGTAAGAATCTTGAAAGCACTAATCTGGATGATATGATACAATAGTGGTTCTCAAATTTAATAATACATCAAAATTGCCTTGAGGGCTTGTTAAAAGAGATCGCTGGGCCCTATACCCTGAACTTCTGATTCAGTGGATCTATGGTAAAGCCCAACAATTCACATTTTTAGTAAGCTCCCATTTTAGTGCTGCTGGGCTGGGGTGCACCCTTTGAGAACCTCTCTAACAGGGACTATTTGGGAGTGGAGGAAGGGACTTCTTTAAGTTGGGTAGTCCAGGAAGGCTTCTCCTAGAAAGTGGCATCTGAGCCAAGAGGGACTGAAGAACAAGAACTGGCTTTACGCAGAGAATTACAGGCAGAGGGAACAATGAAAGGATTGGCCCAGGAGAGGAGCAGGAAGGAGGTCAGTGTGGCCAAAAATCAGTGAGGCTGTGGAGGGCAGGCAGAGGTGAGGGTAGAGAGGGGGCAGAGGAAAGCCCATGGAGGCTTTATTGGGCATGGGGGTGTATAGAGTGCCTTCTAGAAGCAAGAGCAGTTGTTGAGGTGTTTAATCAGGGAAAAGTCATAATCTAATAAAAGCTGACCCTGGCCACTGTGTAGAGAATGAATTAAAGGGGGCAAGAGCAGAAATGGGGAGATCGTGAAGAGGTTGCAGAGTTTCTGGAGGGAGAAGTCTGTGGCCTGGACTAAGGCCATGGAGGTAGAGAAGTTCCCTGGTTACTGTAACCTGATTTCTCTTAGATCAAATAGAAGTGAACGTGTGTGTGTGTGTGCGTGTGTGTGTGATTTCTTCCTCTCAAACACTTCTAGACTAAGCCTTGCCCAAAAAGAAATCTCACCTCCTCATCTGGAACCCAACTTACCCTTCCAGTCCTCTCACTTTTCTCTAACCAAAGGCCTCCTCAAGAACTCACCTCTGAGCCTTTGCCCACTCCATCCCCTCATCAGTGTGCTCCCTGCCCTCCACTCATCCAGACCATACCCCTCTTTACCCTCCAAGGGGCCTTCCCTGGCAGCTCCAGCCTCTGGGGACCCTCTCTTCGGACTTTGTCCAGCACTGATGGAGAGGCCCGCCCTGGGCTCTGGTTACATACTCCTAGAGCTCTTATCTCCAGAATCTCAGAGTCTAAGAAATAGGAGCCTCAGGGACCCTTCCACAATTTCTTTGCTCAGGGAGCAGGCTTTCCTGTACCAATGGCCCAACACACTCACCCCATCATCCACCACTCTTGGCCTCACCCTCAGGTGAGCAGGAGGACACTGCTAAGGATCCCCACTGTCATTCTGGTCATGCAGCACAAGTCCCTAGAGTTGCTAGAAGACATGGATGGGGAGAGGGGAGCACTGTCCTTGTAAGACCCATTGTTTTAAAAGAACTGTGCTATACCTCACCTCATATATCCACATACACATTCTGCCAGGCTATGATGCAAGGGCTACATACATTGTCCCTCTAAAGTTCTTTTTCTGGAAGTCCCATGGTTCTCTTCCTCTGCCTCATCCTAGTGCCCCAGTGCAGCCAGGGGAACAGCAATCCCAGCAATGGAAGGACTGGGGCATTGTTCTGATCAGCTGGCCCCTAACCTGTCTGAGCTGGCAACCACTGAGCTCAGAATCCTCCCATCTGTCTGAGCACAAACAACTGCACTCTTCTGCAGCCTGGACCCCCTCCCTTATGTTGTTGTTTAGACCATTCCAAAGGCCTAAAATAACAGGTAGGGGAGGCACAGTGGGAAGGGGAACACTGCTACCCACATCACCCCCATGCGTTCCCATCAGGTCCTCAAACTCAACTGGTCCCAGAGAAAATGCATTATCTTTAATCCAAATTCTTTCTTCCTCACTCTCCTAGCTCATTTGTTATTCACACATTCATCTATTTATTTTTATCTATTAAAAAAATACTTAACAAATACCAAGCATTATGCAACATATTGGAGACACATTGATAGAAAAGAATTACAAAGTCCCTACCATGATTGTGTTACAGTCTAGAGACTGTAAGGAGACAGATAATAAAAATACACAAATAAGCAAATAGTGAGAAAGGGTGGTAAGAATCTTGAAAGCACTAATCTGGATGATATGATACAATAGTGGTTCTCAAATTTAATAATACATCAAAATTGCCTTGAGGGCTTGTTAAAAGAGATCGCTGGGCCCTATACCCTGAACTTCTGATTCAGTGGATCTATGGTAAAGCCCAACAATTCACATTTTTAGTAAGCTCCCATTTTAGTGCTGCTGGGCTGGGGTGCACCCTTTGAGAACCTCTCTAACAGGGACTATTTGGGAGTGGAGGAAGGGACTTCTTTAAGTTGGGTAGTCCAGGAAGGCTTCTCCTAGAAAGTGGCATCTGAGCCAAGAGGGACTGAAGAACAAGAACTGGCTTTACGCAGAGAATTACAGGCAGAGGGAACAATGAAAGGATTGGCCCAGGAGAGGAGCAGGAAGGAGGTCAGTGTGGCCAAAAATCAGTGAGGCTGTGGAGGGCAGGCAGAGGTGAGGGTAGAGAGGGGGCAGAGGAAAGCCCATGGAGGCTTTATTGGGCATGGGGGTGTATAGAGTGCCTTCTAGAAGCAAGAGCAGTTGTTGAGGTGTTTAATCAGGGAAAAGTCATAATCTAATAAAAGCTGACCCTGGCCACTGTGTAGAGAATGAATTAAAGGGGGCAAGAGCAGAAATGGGGAGATCGTGAAGAGGTTGCAGAGTTTCTGGAGGGAGAAGTCTGTGGCCTGGACTAAGGCCATGGAGGTAGAGAAGTTCCCTGGTTACTGTAACCTGATTTCTCTTAGATCAAATAGAAGTGAACGTGTGTGTGTGTGTGCGTGTGTGTGTGATTTCTTCCTCTCAAACACTTCTAGACTAAGCCTTGCCCAAAAAGAAATCTCACCTCCTCATCTGGAACCCAACTTACCCTTCCAGTCCTCTCACTTTTCTCTAACCAAAGGCCTCCTCAAGAACTCACCTCTGAGCCTTTGCCCACTCCATCCCCTCATCAGTGTGCTCCCTGCCCTCCACTCATCCAGACCATACCCCTCTTTACCCTCCAAGGGGCCTTCCCTGGCAGCTCCAGCCTCTGGGGACCCTCTCTTCGGACTTTGTCCAGCACTGATGGAGAGGCCCGCCCTGGGCTCTGGTTACATACTCCTAGAGCTCTTATCTCCAGAATCTCAGAGTCTAAGAAATAGGAGCCTCAGGGACCCTTCCACAATTTCCCAGATAGGGATTTACCAAATGTAAGCTTGTATGCCTCCAAAGATGGGGAACTTGCTCTCTCTCCTGGAAAATTCATTCCATTGTCTGACAACTTAAGGTTTTAGGAAGTTTTCTCTTACCAAATCTGCTTCCATCTAACTCTACCATGTGGCCTTGGTTATGCCTTCTGGGTAATACAAAGAAAAAATCTAATTTCTTTCACAGAATAGCTCTTCAGCTACTTGAAGACAGAGTTAACATACTCATTTCTGCTACAAGCTGAAGAGCCCAGACTTCCTCAACTATGCCCATACATTGGAATCTTGAACCTCTTTTCTATTCATCTGACCTTCAGAATGGCAAGATTTTTAGGAATTTGCCTATTGCAGGTCTGTGGGAAGCTTCATAAACATAAGCATGAAAACACACACCTAGATAATAAAGGAGTCTTCTAGCATGGAGTCCTGACCTGCAGGTTCCTACACTCACCCATAGTCTCAAAGTGTCCCAAAAGGAACTCAGAAATTAGCTGCCCCACCCTCATTTAGAGCCCCATGTGTCTGTGCTTTGCAACTCAGTCTTTGCAGGCCCCAAACTGGGGAACCTAGGGGCCCTCTGTGCCCAAAATGGGCATGGGAGTCATGCCTGTGTCCCCCCCCCCCCCCACTTTCCCAGCTAACAGTGATGAGAGCGACATCATCCATGCAGTCCGGGTGGAGAAGAGTCCAGCAGGGAGGCTGGGTTTCAGTGTGCGGGGCGGCTCTGAGCATGGGCTGGGCATCTTCGTCAGCAAGGTGGAGGAGGGGAGCAGTGCAGGTGAGTGGGCCCCCAGGGCTGAAGTCCTGGCTTAACATGTAACGTTCACTTCACGGGGTACAGGAATGCTCTTGTCAGGGATGGGAGGAAAGGATCCTCAATTTTGGAGGGCCTGATCCAGTGGGGAGATGGGTCCCTCCAGGGCGCAGTGGGTTAATGGACAGGTCCCTAGTCAAATAGGGAATGCTCAGATCCTAACTGGGGACCCCCAATCTCATGGAAGAAGTTCTACCAGAGGGAGCCTTGTCTGATGGCGGAGGCTTATCCTCATCCTGGGAACCTTCTTCCAAGAGACCCACTCCAGCCACTGCCTTCCCTTCGTGCAGAGCAGGCTGGTCTGTGCGTAGGGGACAAGATCACAGAGGTGAATGGGCTGAGCCTGGAGAGCACAACCATGGGCAGTGCCGTGAAGGTGCTGACGGGCAGCAGCCGCCTACACATGATGGTGAGGCGCATGGGCCGTGTGCCGGGCATCAAATTCTCCAAAGAGAAGACCACATGGTGAGAGTGCCTGGCCCCAGCCCTGGCCTTGCCCCACCCCACTCACCCAGCACACCGCTCAAAGCCCATGGCAGGAGAGGCTGAAGGCACAGGGCTCTGCATGGGGCCTGGCTAGTTTGGCTTCTGTCTGTCCACTCCCTGGTGCTGCTAACACAGGTATCTCAAGGCCTGACCTTGAAATGAGACAAGGCCACATCTCCCTGCCTCCCCTGCTTCCTCCCAACAGCTCTGCTATCCCAGGCATCAGTGGCCCTGCCCACCACACCGCTGTTGTGAGCCTGGGGAGAGTAAGAGCACTTCTCCCTCAGTGACCTTGTGAGCACTCGAAATGGAGCCTGGCACATCGGAGCTGCTCAAAAAAAAGAGGAGATTAGGATGGTTTTCCCAGATTTGATGAAATCTATGTCCCACTGAAGGTCTCCAGCCTGGGGAGTACCCCAAAGACAACCCCTCCTTCCCAAGCAGTTGTCAGGCTGCTGGGAGAAGAGGGATGGGTGGTGGTGGGTGGGAGCCCAGGCTGAAGGCTCCTCTCTGTTGTCCCAGGGTGGATGTGGTCAATCGGCGGCTGGTAGTGGAGAAGTGCAGTTCGACACCATCCCACAGCAGCTCAGAGGACGGTGTGCAGCGCATAGTCCACCTGTACACAACCTCCGACGACTTCTGTTTGGGCTTCAACATCCGTGGGGGCAAGGAGTTTGGCCTGGGCATCTATGTGTCCAAGTGAGGGCAGCAGGGAAGGAAACAGGCTGGGGCCTGGGAATGGTCAGCAAGTGAGGTCCCACAAACTCCTGGCCCAAGCAAGGGCCTGGCTCTGGGGAGGGTCTGCAGAGAGGTGCAGAGGTGTCCAGGAGGAGGGCCAAGGAGTTTGACAGAGGTATCCCTGTATCCAAGTGAAGAGAATCTGGAATGGGGTGAGAGAGGGCAGACCAGGCAGCCTATCAGACTGCTTTCTGTCTGACCCCAGAGTGGACCATGGTGGGCTGGCTGAGGAGAATGGCATCAAGGTGGGAGACCAGGTCCTGGCGGCCAATGGTGTCAGGTTCGATGACATCAGCCACAGCCAGGCCGTGGAATTGCTGAAGGGCCAAACGCACATCATGTTGACCATCAAGGTAGGCAGGACTGTGGGAGTCGGAGAGGCCAGACTACAGGAAGGACTTCCCAGATCTCTCTAATACTTAATTGGGCCCCTCACTCTGCAGTTTATGACTTTTCCAAAGCCACTGGAGGATTTGTGCAGGCATGTTCTCAACCCTATTTCACAGGAGAAGAAACTGAGACTCAGAGAGGCAAAGTAACTCAGGAGCCAGTCAACTACTCAGCTGGTCAGTAGCAGGGCCTGGTTCCAGTCCTGCTCCACAGACACCTCCAGCAGTGCCCCTTCGTATGAGTGGTGGCAGTCTAGTGTTGAAGGGGGAAAATGTCCAGAATGGTTGGGTAGTGGCTGGGGCTTTGGGCAGGCCCCAGGTGCTGGGCATGCTCAGGGCACAGGGCAAGGAGGGTTAGGCTGAAGCCAGAGATTGGCTTTCAGGGGAGGCACCTGGATTCATTGTTCATGTGGCTCTCACACTTGCCTGAGGATTATGTCCTGCTCACTGTGGCTGCTGGAGGTGGTGATGTCTCACTGTCCCCTAGTGCCCAGTCCTGGCCTCTGTGCCAGTCCCTTCCCTTCTCCAGGCTTTCGCCCATCTCACCAGTCAGTGCCTCCTTTGCCATTCCCTGCTAACACCACCATGGCTTCCCACCTCTCCCGTATGCCATTTCTCCCTTCCTTCCTCTCAGATTATCCTGAACACTCCTCCTCTCTCCCACTCTGTCTCTCATTCAGTCATTCAATATATTTAAGTACCTACCACATGGCAGCCACTATGCCAGGCACTGGAGCTACAACAGTGAACAAAACAGGTCTCTGCTACCCGGGGGGGAGACAGACAAAAAATACCAGATACATGCAGATTGTGACAAATGCTGTAAGGAAATTAAGAGAGAGATGGGATGGGGTAATTTGGGAAGGCTCTTTTTAGCCAAGGGGGCTCAGGGCAGGCCTGTTTGAGGAGGTGACAGCTGAAGAGGGGGAAGGAGCCAGCCATAAGATGAACTAAAAGCTGAGGATCCAGGCAGAAGGAACAGCAAGTGCAAAGGCCCTGAGGTATAGAGGAACTTGACATGTTCAGAAATTAAGTGGCCCATTTGGCTAGAGCATGATGAACTGGGAGGAGAGCAGTGGGGTTTTACTCCTGTCCCATCACTCCCTGATTCTTACCCTCCTTTCTCACCCACTCCTCCATGCCCTGCTATGCCCACCACGCCCTCCCCAGGAGACTGGCCGGTACCCTGCCTACAAAGAGATGGTTTCTGAGTACTGTTGGCTGGACCGACGTAAGTGGCTCAGGTCCCCAAGGTTGGAGGGAAAGGGCTGAGGGCCGAGGGTGGGGCCGGAGTCTCTGAAGAATAAATGGGCAGGAAGACCAAAATCTCCTCTTTTACACTGCCCAGAGCCATTTCTGCGCTCCCCTCTGAGAGGTTCAGTTCTAGGCTCTCCTAGGAGTCCCAGAGGGTGGTCAGAGGAGAAGTGACTTGCCTAAAGTCTCTCAACAAGTCTGTGGCAGGACTGCTGAGCAACTGGCTCCCCAGGCGCTGTGTTTCCAATGGTGGCTGCTGCCTGATATGCCCCCACCCCCAGCCCAGGGGATGGCCTGCCACCCTGGTCAGGGGCCCTGAAGCCTTCCCCACTACCCTGCAGTGAGCAACGGGGTGCTGCAGCAGCTGATGCCGGCCTCTGAGAGCAGCTCCACTACCTCCTCCTGTACCTCCAGTGCCCCATACAGCTCCGTTGAGGGCTCAGGCTCCCTGCCCTCAGATCGTGTGGATGTCTGCCTGGGGCCTGAGGAGCCCAGCTGTAGGGGCCCAGACTGGGGGCGGGCAGACACAGCCATGCAGACAGAGCCTGACGTGGGGGGCCACGTGGAGACCTGGTGCAGTGTGAGGCCCACCATCATCCTCAGGGACACAGCCATCCGCTCTGATGAACCCCCATCTGCCCGCCGCCTTGACTCTGCACTCTCTGAGTCCCCCAAGACTGCTCTGCTGCTGGCCCTCAGCCGACCCCGGCCCCCCATCACACGCTCTCAGAGCCACCTGACCTTGTGGGGTACGTGAGTGTGGGTGGCTGCTGCTCTCTCCAAAGCCCTCAGTCTAAAACCTGCCTCACACCCTGCCCTGGGTTCCAAACCTTCCTTTGCCCCAGGTCTTGATTCAGCCCCCAACTCTCCCAAGTCCCAGCCCCAGAATACACTCAGACCCTGCTCTGGGCCCCATTTTAAATTAGTTCTGGGTCCCCAAACCCACTCTCAGTCCCTGCCCCAATTCTTGTCAGAGCTGGGCCCCAAGCCAGTCCTAACCCAGCCACCCCAGCCCTCACAGAGATGCCTCACATAGCTGTAGCTGTGGGGTGGGCAATGGGTGGAAAGTTAGAGGAGGAACCTACCCCCATCCTCATCTCCAGCTCCCCACAAAGCTTCAGATACCCCCACTCTCCCTCCCTCCTGCCCTTCTCCATACCCCTGCCCCTTGGCCTTCCCTTCTGCCCACCCTTCCAGCCCCCTGGGTACTCCCTCATATCTGCAGAGGAGAAGAAGCAACGGAAGAAGAAGTTGGGGACCCCTGGGGAAAAGGGGGTCCTGCAGCGATCCAAGACACTGATGAACCTCTTCTTCAAGGGAGGGCAGCAGGGGTGGCTGGCAGGGGATGGGCAGAGAGAGGCCCGGACACTGGACAGTGGGAGCACGGCCAAGCCCCGCCCTCGCCTGGACTTGGAGAAAGGTAAGTTCTGGGTAGATGCCACAGGGATGACAGAGGGGAAGTCTGCTTTGGCATCCAGCGGCTCTGAGCTTAAACCCCACATTAGCTTTTACTAGTTCTCAGTCACACTCTACTCCTGTGAGCCCTCAGTTTCCTCAGGAGTAAAAGGGGAGAAATAATACATATTTCTTTAAGAATCATGAAGAATAAGTGAATTGGTATAGGTAAACCACTTAATACATTGTCTGGCACACAGAAGGTGCTCAGAAAATGTAGCAGTTATTGTTATACTGCCTCATCTCCCCATTTTACAGAAGGAAACACTATAGAGTCACAGCAGAGAAGGTTGGGGATGAGTTTGGGTCAGTTCCCTGTGCTTTTGGTGCTAAGTGGAGGTGGACTCTCCTTTCCTAGAGTATTTGGCTTCACCTTCCCTGGCCAGAGCTCCACAAGCCCTACCCAGTTCTAGAACCATCCTTTAGCAAGGTCATTTTCAGATCAGGGCCCAGGTGGAAGGGCCTAGACAGGCTTTACTCATGTCAGGGGCTTCCTAAGGACCTTCCCAGGAGGCCTTTCATCTCTCGGGTGAGGTTCAAAGACCGGACGAAGCGCTGAGTCTCTTGGGATGAGTTAAGACTTGTGGGGTTGCATGTGACAGAAACTCAACTCAAACTCTCTTTAAAAAGCTCTTCTAGACTCAGCTACTGATTCACGCTGTGTCTAAAGGTTTGAACACTGTCATCAGAGACTTGCCCCCTTCATCTTTTGTTTTTGCTTTTCCCTGGGTTGGCTTCATTATCATGCAGGTTTTGACCACTTCAAGGTTAGATGGCTTAGCAACCCAGGGGAAAGACAGCTTCTTCAATAGTTCCAGCTGAAGTCCCAGGCTCTCATTGGCCCAGCTGGGATCACATGACCAACAAAGCCCTGCGTGCCTGTAGAAAGAACTTTCATAGGCCAGCCAGGTTCACATGCAACCACTGAGAATGGACGACTACAGGTGAAATCAGGTTCTGTTTCCAGAAAGGAGAGTGGATTTGGGGTAGGCAGAAACAGCCAGAGGATGAGGAGCTGGCCCCTGCCCCCTCCTGGGGGGCTAAGGTGACAGCCTCGTAGGGGACAATTCCTTCAAATTAGGCCAGGCCAGCCATCCTCCCTCAACCTCTCTTTCCACAGCCCCCCAGGCCCTGCTCTCTCTCCTGGTTCTCCTCCCACCTTTCTGGCCATTCCTCTCTCTTCTTCCTCTTTTTCCTCTCTGTCCCCTGAAGGTAGGTGCTCCCTTGTCTTTGGGATTCTTCCGTCTATACAAGTGCTTCCAATTGGATGGAGTCTCCATTGGCAGAGCTCAGACCGAACCATCTCTTGATCTAAAACCTCCACTGACTCCCCATTGCCTATGAAGGAAGTCCTTAGCTTCAGCATGGTCTTCAAAACCTTCTTGGCCTGGCCTGTTGCCTCCCTGTCTCACCTCCTTCTAGTCTGAACTCTCCATTCCAACCAGTCCTGAGCCTCCCAATCCCCATTTTCAGATTGGGGCCCAGGGCTTGCAGCTGAGCCTCTTTCTTTTTTGTAGCAGGGGGAGTGGGGCCCGTGCAGAAGTTTGTCACCTGGAGACTGAGACGCGGTAATTCATGCATCCCTTCACCAAGGCCTGGTTTACAGTACAGGTGCAGATAGGGTGCATATTGGGGCTCAACTCAGTTGGGGTCAAGCAGGGGTGTCAGGCAGATAAGGAGGTGCATATTGGGGGCAGCTAGAAAAATTGAACTAAGCTAACTGGGAAGTATAAGGCTGCAGACAGAAATTAGGGTGCATTTTTGAGGACTGGGGTGCGTGAATTGGGATTCCCAAAGACAGATCTGGGGGAGGTGAGGGAGCCTATGCTAGAAAACGAATGGGTTAGTATGAGAGTGCATATTCAAGGGGCTTAGGAGGATCCCCATTAAGCGAGGAAAACAGTAAGGAACAGACTGGTATAGGGGTCTGTGTTGGGGACTGCAATGGCACTAACTTCAAGGTTACTATGGGAGACCATGGTGGGGAGTGTCTAGGCTAGGCTGGGATTCTGTGGGAAGCACCTGGGCCTCTCAGCGAGTCTCTTCTGGGGTGTGACTCCCATTTAGAGAAGTCCCTACTCCTCCCCTGATGGCCCCTGGCTCCTTCATCATACATTTTCACTCCTGCCTGCAGACCGGGAGAGGGGCCGGGCCCTGCTCTCTGCTAAGTTTGGGAGTCCCTCCAGCCAACTGCCCAAGGCAGATGAGAGGGTGCAGGCCTGGGAGAGCCGACGGCCCCTTATCCAAGACCTGGCCCAGAGGCTGCTGACTGATGATGAGGTCCTGGCTGTCACCCGCCACTGCTCTCGGGTGAGCCTCCAACTGGCCCCGGCCCCAGAACATGGTCACTCAGCCACCTAGCCCCTCATTCTTTCAGGCCATTGTCTGCTGACCAGTATCCAGGCTCAGTGCTGTGAGGCCAGTGGTCAGGAAAAGCAGATGTCACCCCTGTCATACATGCAAATGTGGAAATAACCCAAGAGGCACAGCTTAGATGGTATGGTCTGGGAGGGCCTCCTTGAGGAGGTAATATTTAAACTGAGGAGAGAAAGAGCTGGACAGGTAGTGAGTAGGGGGACATGAGTCCCTGCAGTCACCTGCCTCCTTTCTCCTCTAAACCCCAGCTTTTCCCTTCCATGCCAACAGGCCGGCCTCATGCCAGGCCCCCTCCCCTGTTACCCAAGTTGTCCTCCCTCGATACCTACATTCTTGTTCTCTGTTCCCTGCCACTTCCAACAAACCAGAGGGCCCAGGGAAGGGTAGAGGTTAGAAGTGAGGAAGTCTTTGTGTCTTGAATGTTGGGGAAGCTGGGGGAGGCACAGGTCATCCCTGCCAAGAGGATTGGATGGCCCTGTCCTATCCCTCTGTCTCAAGAACCCCCAGGTTCTCTGTGATGGGTTGCCTGTGTCAGGGTGCATGTGAGCCTGAGTACCAGGGCAAGCTGGAAAGTTTCAGGAAATCATTTGTGGTTCCCCTGTCCCATCACCTTGGTCAGGGTGGAGCTGTGTTGTCTGTCTGTGTGATGCATACATTTGTGTGCCTGTGGGGTACCTGGGTTTATGTTGACTATCTATGTGAGTGTGTATGTGTCTGGGTAAGTCACTTGTGCTTCACCTGGAGACTGAGACGTGGTGATTTATGCATCCCTTTTCCAAGAACTGCAGATGGGAGTGCATTTGGGGGGGTAGCTAAGGGCCTTTGGTCTAAACTCAGTGTCACCTGCAGCACTGAGAGCTGAGTGGTGCTGTTGTGTACCAACCTCTGTGAGCCTGCAACTCTGGGCCTCTGCCACTAGGTGGCGCTTTGTGCCTATTCTTTAGTGGACTCCTTCCCCGTCATTCTGCGGCTCCTCCTACCCTGCCCAAGCCAGGACCGCCTCTTACTGAGCCGGCGGCGCTCTACCAGCCTCGCGAACCTGACCCAAGCCCCACCCACACCAGGAGAACAGACCCTTCGGGATGGAACCCTGGTGGGAATGATTAGTAAAGCTCCCCTAGTGACTCGGATCTGTGCCCCCACCTCAATATTAATGCCTAGCCTCCCCCCTCTCTCTCTATGGCCACCAGATTAGCCATTATAAACCACCTCTCTGATCACTTCACATCCCCCAACTCCCCTGTGGCCTCTTATCTTTGGCAGAATAGAGTTCAAGTTCCTTATCTGCAAGGCCCTCCCTGACTTGAGTCCCTAGCCCACTAACATCGGCTTTTCTACGGTCACCACCTCACCATCTTCCCCTGGTCACCACACAGGTTTACACAGGTTACGCATCAGATAACTCTAGGGGCACTACCCCCATTGTAGTCGCAATGTGGAAACCCTTCATGTACCCCACAGCCAAGTTAAACTTCTATCTACCCATCATTCCACATCACCCTTAGAGCACTTTCCTCCAAACTTTCATGCTGTTCCCTGCATTTATCTTCAGAGTCAGTGTAAATACCACCCCTTCCATGAAGCCTACTGTGGTCCTGCCTCCTTCCTCTGAGACTCCCTCTGGCTCTTTGCCAGTGGTTTGTAGTCACTGGGGCACATGGCTCATTCTGCCCCTTGTTCCATTAGATTGAGTTCCTGAGGATCTGGAACAAGGTCTTCATCGTTGTGCCCCCACTGCCCAGCACAGGGCCTGATACTTAGTGGTTGCTGAATGCAGGTTTGTGGACTTGAAGTGTGTGCACATATGTGACTGGTTCTGTGTAATTATGTGTATCTCCCTCCAGAAAAAAAGGTTGATATGTGTATGTGTGAGTCCTTGGAACTTTGTGTTGTTTAGGGCCACACAATTTATACTTAATTTCCAGATATTTTTGAATGTCTCACTCTGATCACCAGGGCATGCTGTATCTCTCTGTCTACATCTGTGTGGGATGATCTGTGCGTCCCTGAGTCAGTGCGTGTCTCCCTCTTGCCACCAGGGGGCTGTCCAAGCAGGGTTGGCTCCCAGTGTTCAATTTGTCAGTTTGCGTTGGTGGGGTGTGGCTGGTGGCATCCAGGCAGTACCAGGCAGAAGGACCTCCACCACCTGCAACCGCCCCCCGAGTACAGACTAGAGAGGCTTTCTGCAAGGCCACCCCTTCCCCAGGGTCCCCATTCCAGCCCTGAACAAAGCCTAATTTGTAGGTCTGTGTGCAGACACACACGCTGGGCCAGCTAGGTCCACAGCCTAGTGTTTAGCTCAAATTCCTTCCTTCTGCCTGGGACGTGGGGGTAGTGAGGAGAGTCCACTCCCTGCACATCCTTTTCTGGTGCCAGACAGGCTAGAGCCAGACTTCTCAGGTTCAAACCCCTCTTCACACTTCCTTATCTGTGTGACCCTGGGCAAAGTCCTTCTCTCTGAGCCTCAGTTTCCTCATCTGCAAAACAGGAATAATTAATGTTATCTGTCAATGTAGTTGCTAAATGACGACCATGTATAAAAGGCTAAGAGAAGGGCCTGTCCCAAAGCTGCTAATGTTGTAGTTGCAATTACAGGTCTTTTACTATTATTGCAGGCTTCCACATAGTCACCAAGATAAGACCATTCTGTGGACCACCTGGGGGTGGGGAGGACCTATTCTAAGCATGTCCCCTACATGCCCAGGCATTCTCCCCCTTGCCTAGCCCTGGAAGCCCCGCTGCTCTCTGACCTGTGTTGCCTCTCTCTGCAGTATGTGCATGAGGGTGGCGTGGAGGACCTGGTGAGGCCTCTGCTGGCCATTCTAGACAGGCCTGCGAAGCTGCTGCTGCTGAGGGACATCAGGTGGGGAGGGCTTGGGGGTAGGAAGGGGGCCTCTGATACTTCCTCCGACCTCCTCAGGGCTGAAGCCCCTCCCAGGACCTCCGGAACTTAGTCCCTGCCCACCCCCCATCTCTTGCCCTCCCCCAGGAGTGTGGTTGCCCCCACAGACCTTGGCCGCTTCGACAGCATGGTGATGCCCGTGGAGCTGGAGGCTTTTGAGGTGCTCAGAAGCCGAGCAGGTCAGCAGCTGGGGGGCTGCTTGCGGATCTTAGCCTCATGTGGGGTGGGGGCGGGGGCTGGCAGTAAAGATGGCAGAGATTGCCTGAGCGCCTTCAGCTGTGTCCAGCAGGGAGCCTGACTACAGGAAATCCCTGCCTCTGACCTCTTCTCTCCAACTAGTATGGCCTCCTGCCTTACGACCAGCCCGGCAGGACACACTGCCCAAGCGCCACCTCATCACCCCTGTGCCTGGTCAGTCAAAGTCCCAGAGTCTGGGGAGGGGGCACAGCCCTGGGGGATTGGGGAAAGGAGAATGGGCCTTCCATCCCTGCCTCCGCAGGGGCTGTCATGGCTTGCAGAGGTACATGTGGTTCCCTGAAGGAAATCCCTCATCCACCTGAGCCATTTTTATCATGTCCACTCACCACCTGTACTGTTCTTTACTTAATTGGTTTTAAACCCACTTAACTTTTTAAATCTAGTTTCATTCTATGCAATAATCTCCAAGTAATTACCAGTTTGCTATGCGAGTCATGTTTTTTCTTAGACCCGTTACAGTAAAACTAACCATTACAATAGAAAGTATTAAAATACTATTAGCACAGACCCCCAGCAATGTCCCTCACTGCTTAGGGTCTGGGTCTCATAGGCCCTATGCCAGAAAGGCTCTGCCTGGGGTCTGGCAAGGCGCTCTGGGCTGGGAAGGAAAGGGCAGCCTGACCTTGACTCTCTTCCCAGACAGCCATGGAGGCTTCTACCTGCTGCCTGTGAATGGTTTCTCAGAGGAAGAAGATGATGGGGAACTGAGGGAGCCACTGGAGGCCCTCCAGGTCTCCCTGGGTGCCTCTGCCCCCCGCCACCCTCATAAAGGGATCCCGCCTCTCCCAGATGTGCCAGTAGATGCCTTCCCCAGACGCCGAAGCACCTGCACACCCCCTCCCGTTGCTCCCCGGCCCCTGAGGCCTAACTGGCTGCTGACAGAACCCCCGACCCCGGAGGACCCTCTGCAAAGTCAGAGGCAGGGCTGGGCCCAGAGCTGCAGTTGCAGCCGGCGCCAAGGCAGGTCCCCCGGACGAAGGCGTTCCCCATCCCCAGCACCTACTGCCATCCCCAGCACAGCCAATGGGCGCTACCACAGGCCTCGGAAGAGCAGGCCCCCTCTGCCACGACCTCTAGAGGGGCAAGACGCTAAGTGGGGGGGCAGTCAAGGGCCCTTTGAGAATGGAACTGAGGAGGCGGCCGCAAAAGCCCCTAGTGGGGAGCTGAAGACAGTTACGCTGTCCAAGATGAAGCAGTCCTTGGGTGAGTCCCGGTGCGACAAAGCTGACAGGGCGCTTCTGGGTTTGGGTGAGGTTGGCGGGCTTCGTTTCCGGGTGTGATGGGATCCTGGGCTTAGGAAAAGAATCCAGATATTGAGGTATAGTTGGGAGGATCTAGATACGGGGAGTTGGGATCTAGGGCATCGGGAGTCAGTTGAAGACTGAGTCGTGACAGAATCTGGAGGTTGGGGAGAAGCTGGGGGCCCTGGATTTGGGGGCAGGGCCCAGGAGCTATGGTTAGGGGGGTGGCTGCACTCTCACCACTGTTGCTTTCTCACCAGGCATCAGCATTTCGGGGGGCATTGAGTCCAAGGTGCAGCCCATGGTGAAGATAGAAAAGATCTTCCCTGGGGGGGCTGCCTTCCTCTGTGGGGCCCTTCAGGTGGGTGAAGAGCACCGAGACTCACTCACGAGGCCCAGGGCTGAATTCTAGCATGGGGAGGGGCTGACTCATCTTCCAGCCACACATGTTTAGACCAGGCCATAGGAGGCAGCTTGGGAGCAGGGGGTCAGGCTGGTAGGATGAGCAGGCCTCCGGGAAAAATCTGTCCCCTCATGCCAGCCTGGGACTGAGTGTGGCCCATCCTGTTCCACCCCCGAGCCCCAAGGGACAAAGGGCTGTTGTCTGTTTTACCCTGCCCCCAAGGGCTCCAAGCACAAAAGTTCCATTGTTCATCCCTCCACCCAAATGGGGAGGAGTGTCCTCGCTGGTGGAGGTGAGAAGTTGTGTGGTTGGGTGGGGGTGACCTGAGGGAGGGTTGTGACCCTCCCACCTCCATCCCAGGCTGGCTTGGAGCTTGTGGCTGTGGATGGAGAGAGCCTGGAGCAGGTGACTCACCAGCGAGCAGTAGACACCATCCGTCGGGCTTATCGAAACAAGGCTCGGGAGCCCATGGAGCTTGTGGTCAGAGTCCCGGGGCCTGACCTGTTACTCTTACCATCTGACTCATCATCCCCCAGTGATCTGCGCCTTCCTACTTACCATTCCCCTGCCCGCTGACCCCGATGGTACTCGTTTTTTCTCATTGGCTCCCTGAACCAATCATTAATGTCCTTCCCATCAATACCCAGCCCCCTCCCACTGATACCAGGACCCAGCTGAGCCCCACCTGAACCCAGTCCCCTCTCCAGCGCTCCAGACTCCTGACACTAGCCCCATACCCTCCCCACCTATCCTGTGATTCTCCCACTGACCCCTAGAATTCTCCTGCTGTCTCCTGGACCTTGCCTACTAATCTCAGGACTCAAGAACCTCACCTTCCTGCTTGTCTAGCTGACTCCCAAAGGTCCACCGGGGGCCTCCCATATCCCCACTTTCTTCTCTCCACAGTTGTCACTAAGACTGCCCTTTCCAGATAAACTTGGTATCAAGCACAAGGTGGTATGGGGCAGCCTGTGTCACCTGCTCACTGTCCCCAACCTCCCAAGTCAGGAATGGAGTCAAGAAACCCAAGGTCTGCAGCCTGGGACTGGTAGGCATGGGCACTTTCTCATGATACCCCTTTGATTCCCCGAAGCACTGAGGGACATGGACTCTCAGATAGGGCCTTCAAAGGGTCGTTGTGTCCATCCCTTAGCTCCAAGCAATGTTCTGTCCAAGGGACAGGAAGGCTTTTGTAATTTCTCAAACCCTGAGAGGCCATTTCATATTGTGATCCACTAGGACTTCAGAGTTTTTAGTGGATTCGTCCTTACCCCACCATCCTTTCTCTCCCTAAAACCTCTATGAAGGGTAGGGGGACAGCCAGCAAATAAAGAGAGTGTAGGGATCAAACAAGTTCCCATAATCTTTACCCAGCATATTCACCTTTTTTTAAAAACAAGAAAATTTAATTTTTTTCTTTGGGTTTTTACAAGAAATTTACAGTGTGAAAAATATACAAGTGAAAACGAGACCATAAACCTGGATGTGGGGAGGGGCCACTTGGTCACAAACACAAATAAACAAGACACTTCTGAGTTCTTCCTTTGGTCTGACTATAGCCCCCACCCCAGGAGAGAGGCTGCAGAGCTGGAACTGGGGGATGAGACCCCAGTCCCAGCCTTGTCCCCCAACATGGGCAGGGGGTGGGGGCAGGCACATCTGGAGCAGCTGGTGCTGTCTGGCTCTCTCTGGCTTCGGGGTTGGGAAGAATGTGATGAGGGAACCCCTTCCTCTTCCCAACCCCCTGGCTGGGCACACTGGGGAGTGTCTGGAGTGAGTGGGGTCAAACAGTGGCACTGGCAGCAGCTGGGGAGTGAAATGGGTCAAGTGAGTAAGAGCCTCTAGGTGACAGTGAACACGGGGACCTTCAAAGAGTCTGATCTTGCAAATCTAAGTCATGGGGCAGTCCCAAGTTCTTGGCAGAGGCCCAGAGGCCTGGACCCCAGGAGCAGAGTAGCTCTGGGGCCCTCAGACTTTGGGGCCCTCAGTGGACCTGCCTCTTCAAGCTCCCTGAAGAGCTGGGATGCCAAGGGCCTTAGATCTCAGTGGCAGTGATCTCCTCCAGGCAGATGCAGGGGGCCGGCTCGGCCAGGCCCAGGTCGGCCAGCTCTCGGGCCTCCAGCTCCAGGCTGAGCTGCTGCAGCTCCTGTTCCAGCTGTCGGTTACGCCGGTACATCTGGATGTAGTTGTGTTGCAGCTGCTTCTGGTAGCGGATCACCTGCTCCTTCTCTGCCTGCCAGGCTAGCCGCTCCCCCTCGAAGCTGTCCCGCTGCTCCTCACCTCTCCGCCGCTCCCGCTGGAGTTCCACCCGCAACCTCTCCACTTGGGCCCGCAGGCTGCCCCCGACCCCAGCTGCTGCCCGCTGTACCTTGGCCTCATCACTCTCTGCCAGGAGGAATGGGTCAGCAGTGGCAGGTGGCACAGGGGGTTCCCGTAGGCCGGCTGCCTCGGTGTCCAACTGCCCAGCTTTCTCCCGTAGCCGCTCAGCTTCCTGGCGGTGCCGCTGCAGCTCTTGGGAGCAGGCCTCCAGCTCCAGCTCCCGAGCTCGGGCAGCCTCCTGAAGGCCCCGCACCCGGCCCTCACTAACCCGCAGCGCTGCCCGGGCCTCCCGAAGTGCCACTCTCAGGGCTACCAGCTCACTGCCCTTCTGCACCAGCTCTGCCTGAGACTCCTTCAGTTGCTGCTTCAGCAGGGAGATTTCACCTGACTTCTGGCACACCTGGGGGATGAGATGGAGTCAGGAAATGTGGTGAGAAGGGTTCTCCCAGGAGGTCTGGCCCTGACATCAGGCTGGGCATTCAGGGAGCAGTTTGATCATTATACCCATTTTACAGATGGAGACACCGAGGCAAGCCTAGTTACATGTCCAAGGTCACACAGCTACTTAGTAGCTAAACTGGAATACAGACTCAGATCTTTGTCCTTCAAAGAAGGTGTCTTTAAACCACCATAGAGCATACCAGAGCCCTGGGGACTGGATAGTGGCAGGTTTTGCAAGAGTGGGAGCAACTGAGGGCAGTTCCCATGCCTCCAGTTGAGAGGTACTACAGTGTCTTAGTTAAAGACCTAGAAATCAGAGCCAAACTGCTGGGTTCCAATCCCAGCTATGCCACTGATGAGTTGTGATTTTGGGCTCCAGCTTTCTGGACCTCAGATTCCTTATCTTGAAAACAGGGATATTATCAGTACCTACTCCACCAGATTGTTAGGAGAACTAGATGGCACACTCTAAGGAACATGTTTAGAACAGTGCCTGATGGGTAGCCAGTACTGTTCTCCTCATATGGGTAGGGAGACAGTGGATAACAATGCCACTGGCTATATGGGCACTACAGGCCTGACCAATGAGGACATCCAACCTGGAGGCACAGGGGACCCCCACCCAGTAAGGGAGACTGAAGGGGGTCCTCATTTTACAGAGGTGAGGATGGGGTGGTTCTCTGGAGTTGGCAGGCTTGGGGGGAGTGGCCAGGCCCCTTTCCTCGGCTGTTCCCCATATGACCCACCTCCCACTTGGTCTCCTCCAGCCGGGGCCCGAGTTCCCGCTGCTCCCGCTCAAAGGCGGCACAGCGCCGCTCCAGCTGCTCCCGTTCCTGCAGCAGCTGCGCAAAGTCATCCTGCAGCTGCCGCTTCTCCTGCTGCAGCTGAAACACCTGCAGCTGCAGCAGCTGCTGCGCCCGCTGTGCCCGGGCTGCCCCGTCTCCTCGCAGCACCTCCCGCTCCTGCTGCCAGGGCCGCTGCCGGTCCTCGTACACCTGCGGGCGAGAGGGCAGACCTGGGTCCTGACAGCCCCCCAAACCTCGAGCTTCAGACACCCCCAACTCCCCAGTCACCAACTGCTCTGGTGGCCCACCAGCCAGGGCTCAGGGAGGGGAGATTCCACTCAACAGTGACAATATTGTGATTAACAATAGTAATGACTACTTATGATAATAGAAACAACAATAACAGCAGGCATTTATGTAGCACTTCCTAGGTTCCAAGCTTTATTCTAAGTACTTTACACCCTTTGCCTTATTTCATCCTCATGATAACACTATAAAGCCAGAAATACCATCTATAGATGAGGAAACTGAAGCTCAGTATGATTAAGTAACTTGCTTAGATCCAAAAGCCAGTAAGTACATGGCAGTGCTGGGTCTGAATCCTCACCACTCCACAGGTTAAGCTAGACAGCTAGGGTGGGGACAGGGTCACAACTGCAGCTGCCCAACACTTGCCCCCCAGCACAATCAGAAACGCTCCTTGGATTCCCAGAGCCTTTGGACGTCTTGCCATGCCACCCCCATTATCACTGCTGACCACACCTGGCACAGGGTCACCTCACTCTCGTCCAGACTGTCCCGCAGCTGCTGCAGCTCTGCCTCACGGTCGTGGAGCTTTCCTTCCAGGACACAGTGCAGCAGGGCTTCGTCGGAAGGTGGGGGAGGGGGCGGGGGCGGGGAGCGGTCCCCACAGGAGCTGCTGTCCGGGGAGGCCCGGGGACCGCTGCCCAAGAGCCCCCCAGCCATGCGGCCTCCCATGGAGCCTGTGCTCTTGCTGGAGGAAGATCGGCCACTGTCGGAGTGGGATGGCCCAGTGGGGGCCCCTCGGACTGGCCCAGGCAATGCCCCCTGCCCAGGGCCATGGGAGGGTAGGTGCCCGCCTGGGGAGCTGGTGGCTGGCTCAGCACCCCCGGTGCTATAAGTGGGCAGGCTGGATAGTGAGTTTCGGCCAGAGTCAGACAGCGTCCCCGATGGGCAGCCACTAGCCCAGCCACTCAGTGTCAGGGGTTTGTCGGCAGCAGAGGAGGAGGAAGAAGAGGAGGAGGAGGCAGGGCCCCCAAACAGCTGTGTTAAGCTGCCTTGGCTCCCAGCGAGTCCGGCGGCCCGAGGACCTGGGAAGCTAGGTAGGGATGGCGCCCCTCGAGGTTTGGGCAGCACTGGCTTGAAGGCTGTTGGACGGATCAGGATTTTCTCCATGTTCTGAAATGAGGTGCCATGTGACACTGGGGATGAGCTGCCCGATCTTCCAAAGCCCTTATCACACTCCCTGCCCTCCCCTCTGGGGCCCCTATGTCCCATACATTAATAATAATTGCTTCCACTGGCTGAGGACTTCCTGAATGTCAGCTTTATATCAATAAATTTAAAAGCTAGTCATCTCTAACATTACAACAGCCATCCAAGCAAAAACAAAACGTTATCACTATTCCCATATTACAGATGAAGCAATAGAGGCTCAGTAAAGTCAAAAGCCTTGCTCAAAGTCAAACACATAGCTGTACAACAGTCATTTAAGCAGCTAACATTTATTGCATATATTATGTGCCAGGTACTAGGCTAAACACGTTATTTAATTCTCACAATAATCCTATGACAGGTAACCTATTACCTCCATTTTACAGATACAGAAACTTTAGCTTAGAAAGGTTAAGCAACTTCTCTGAGGTCACACAGCCAGAATGAGGCAGAGCTGGGATTAGAACCCAGGTCTGGTGAATCTGGAGCCCACATTCTTTCCCCTAGTTAGGCCTCCAAATTCCAGCTTTTCCTGGGGGAGCCTGATTCCACCCAGGCCCCAAAGGGCTAGTTCTCACCTTCTCCAGCTTTCCAGAGACAGGGATGAGCTTGGGTGGGGGACCACGGAGATGGGCATTGCGTGCCCGTTGCTCTCGGGCATCCTCAATATCACTGCTTGGACTGGGGGGTGACTCTGTCCGGAAGTCCTCGTTGATGTATGTGAAGCTGGTGCCAGGGATGGCCTTCCTTGGGGGCACAGCTGGGCACAGCGGCTCCTGAGCCTCGGGATAACCACCCCGCAGCAGTCCATCCTGCTGGCGGAAGAAGGTGGGCCCAGAGGGGCCATGGTGGCGGGGAGGAGCCGGCCCCCCAGGGCAGGGCCGGCCTGAGATGAGGCTGCTCACGCTACCCATGGCTGGAGCTTGTGGGACAGTGGTGGCCTCAGGAGTGGGCTCCAGTGGCACCGGCAGAGTCTGCACAATGGCCATGGCAACAGAGGCTTAGGCCTGGCCAAGGGCCTCCAGGGGAACCTATGAACAGGGCAGTGGTGTCAGAGTCTCTCCACCTTGAGCCCCCTCCCTGTACGAGGCCTTGAATCCCTCTCCTGAGCCCTTGTCACAGGTCAGATAGTCCTCTGATACCAGTGACAAATCCTGCTGCCTGCCAAGTCTCCTCCAAGAACTGGGATGAGCCTCAGTTCTCTCTGAGCCCCAGGCCACTGCCCAACTCTGGTTTGGACAGGACTAAAGACTGCGTCTACCAA